CTGTTTTGTTTTCACTTATGCTGCAAAGCTGCTGTAAGTCCCCTATTGAGGGAATTCAGTTTTCTTCTTCTTTCTTGTAATGGTTTATGTTTTGAATTGATTCTAATATTATGACAGTTTAGTTACTGTGTTTGTTTTAAATGTTGTACACTGCTTTGAGTCCTGAACTGAGAAAAAGGCAGGACATAAAGAACACAATACTACCACTACTGCTGCTTTTATTGTTGCTAACTGCCTTTGCCTCAATCTTAACTCATGGCGGCCCTGCTGATGAGACATCTCCAAGGCTACTACTACTACTACTACTACTACTAGGATTAATAAAAAAGTTACGAGGGGCATTGTTTCAGATCATGTGCTCTACTTCCATTTTCCAGTCTACCTCCATGCATAGTACTTATTATAGATTTCGATCAGTCCAGCTTTATCTGCACAATTCCTGATCAATACAGATTCTGAAATGTAAACTGCTTTTTTCCCAGTTTGGGGATCATGGTGGCTTACAACGGATGAAAAAAAGATATTTTTACCTGCTTGCAGAAAGATAGTTAGGAGCATGCCAGTCGGGCCTCTCTGTGAAGGAGTTTCAGAAAACAGATTGATGAATGATTGTAATGATAAAGCTGGACTGGTTGATTGTTTAATGTGCTGCTTTTCCGAAGTGGCTTACAGTATGTGTACAAACGTAACACAGAGGTGCAGATCAACCGCCAGGGCTTCCTACCTGTAAGACTGCAGGACATCGATGATCCCCACATAGATCAACAGCCTCTCTCCCCTGGTGTTCCGTTCAGGGATCCCTCCCATCCTAGACCGACGATCAGTAAGCCCTGGCGGTTGATCTGCACCTCTGTGTTACATTTGTACACATACTGTAAGCCACTTCGGAAAAGCAGCACATTAAACAATCAATCAGTCCAGCTTTATCATTACAATCATCCATCAGTCTGTTTTCTGAAACTCCTTCACAGAGAGGCCTGACTGGCATGCTCCTAACTATCTTTCTTCAAGCAGGTAAAAATATCTTTTTTTCATCCGTTGTAAGCCACCATGATCCCCAAACTGGGAAAAATGAGTACCCAGATTGTTGGGGGGCAATCAGCTCACAGTTGTAAACCGCTTAGACATCCCATAGCGTGATATGAAGCGGTATATAAATAAGCTGCTTTGCTTTTTGCTTTTTTAGACAAGAGATGGGAAGGAAGCCACAGAACAAGGACACGTGAGTTTGCCGGCGTCATTCCAAGCCAAGGGGCCGTTCCATTCCAGATGCCTCTCCGTGATTCAGCCACCAGCAACCTGAGAGCCAGGAGCTGGGCTCACTTGCCATCATGGGGCTGGCTCAGCTCCCTCGCCTGTAGTGGCCTGAAAAATGCCTCGGAGCACAAAACAGCCTAGTCAACGGCTTTGGGAGAGGATTTCTTCTCGTCTTAAGCTCTCAACA